ACTCATGGCTGTATTAGATCAAAAGGGTGCTTCTACTAAATACTGAGCAAAGGGTCTGAATACTTAGGACCATGTGAGATTTCAGTTTTTCTTTTTTAATAAATCTGCAAAAATGTCAACAATTCTGTGTTTTTCTGTCAATATGGGGTGCTGTGTGTACATTGAGGCAAAAAAATAAACTTAAATGATTTTAGCAAATGGCTGCAATATAACAAAGAGTGAAAAATTTAAGGGGGTCTGAATACTTTCCGTACCCACTGTATGTGTCCATATAATCATTATTCCCCCCCACCCAGACCAGAGAACAGCATGTTATAAAGTGTGATGGTTAAAGTACACTAGACATTTTAAAGAGAGTGGATTCCTACTGTGGTGATGGATGATGAAGTATGTTAACAGCAGATCGTTTTTAGATTGTTAAAATGCTGTTTATTAAATGCTGTGAGAGTTTTTCTGAGAGGTCACATTGTGAGACAAAAAATTTGGGAACTGCATGTGAGATGTTATTAAGTTGATTTTACCACTTAGTGTGTTTGTCTTGATAGGTGTTTCTGTATTTGGCTAAGCAGTCATTTGGGTGTCTCGCCAATGTAATGGTTAGAAAGACATTCTTTTGCTTCTAACTTTTTCCCTTGGTGAACAATTAACATGTAAATATAGCCAAAATCACTGCACAGCTTTTGTCTTTATCTTATCTCTATGGTGATTTTGTCAGATGACTTCTTGATTATAAATCAGGATTTCAGCAGCTTGGATGTGACTGCTGGTTAACATGTAGTCGTACTGGGTCACGTTTCAGTCACTATTTCATATTCATTCTGTTGTCTGACAACATAAACAGAAAAGAAATATCTAAATGAGAACAGCTTTATTGGGAATTCAGCTGTATTAAAGTACAGTAAGTGAGCACAGAGTAGAGAAGCAAACAAAGGGCTGACACTAGGCAGAATGCAAATATGACATAATGATGCAATGAATATGCTAATTAGAACATGTTGTTTAGCGACTTTTTACAGGTTTTTGCAACTTTCCATTCAAAATACTTGGCAACAGTGATTTCACAGATCACTTGGCTATATGGGCCATTTGGTTCACACCTTTACAGACACAGAGAGAGTTGATTGAGTCTCAGTCACAGTCAGGGTTTGAAAATGAACTTTTTTACTCACCAGACAATTTGGCTGCTAAATGTTTAAGTTATCAGCCATTCAGAATTTCTACTAGCCAAAACAAAAGATCATAAACCATAAAATAAATAATAATCATAAACCAAATTATTATAATTGCTGCTTTTTAATGGCTTTCATTTTTACAACACTCTTTCATTGCTTGTGGATACCATAAAATAAAACAGAAATAAAAACAAAGTTCTCTGTGACTTTTCTTATAAAACAGCATTAATTTCAGTGTAATTTCCAAGTATAGCTCACTCCTAAATGAATGCTTAATGGTAAACACTTTGAAGACAGGCTGTCAGTTCATAAAGTGTTCAGCTGTTTTCACACGAAAGTCAGCGTACTGAATTCAGCATATTGAAACCTCTCCTCTATTGACATCCATTCAAAAAAATACTACTTTGTCAAAGATTAAACAAAGTGGTGTTTGAAAAAAAACAGTGCAAACTGGAAAGAGAAAGGTTGATCTATGTTATTATATTTCATATGAAGCATAGACTATTAAAAAAACATCAGACGTAAATATATCCTATCAAAGATAACTCAAATTAAACCTAACCTTTAAGCCTGGACAGCTGGTACTTTTTCATACATTACATAATATGAATGTATATAGAGGTGATTAAACTAAATAAAGAAAGAGAAGGAAAATAAAGCAGTGTTTCATAAATGCATAAAAGCTGTACGCTGCCTCTCCAGTTTTGGTACTTCAAAATTTTCACATATTCTGGGAGTCGTGCTGGAACATTAATGGCAAGCAATCAGTAATACATGCAGTTGCCAAGCCATTAGGTGATTTAAGAAAATCAATTGTAAAACTAACAGGAGGCCATTATAAACCAGTCCATGATTACTTTTGATTTTAGCTGCATTAAAGACCCCATTAAAAGTCATGAATGCAGTTTTGTTTTCTGTGTTGATGTGTTTCCTCGACTTGGTGTTTGTTGTAGTAATGTGTGCTGCCTGACTCTTTTGAATCTAATAGAACCCATTCCTGATCCTCGTGGTGTTGCTGATAACTAGTGGTCTGTTCATGTTCACTCTCAAGTCCACTCAGTTTAATCTGGAGGGTTTCATTATGGTCCTGTTGGCCTCTTTTATTGGAGGGATCCGCTGGACTCTCACTCAAGTGCTCATGCAGAAAGCAGAGCTTGGTAAGTCAACATGTTATGTGTGTTGGTTATATGGTGAAGTGGTGAATTCTCATGACTCTTATGTCCTTCTCTTTGCCACACAGGCCTTCAGAACCCCATAGACACTATGTATCATCTGCAGCCTCTCATGTTCCTGGGCCTCTTTCCTCTGTTTCTTCTTAATGAAGGTCAGTCAGAAACCAGTTTTTTTTAATGTATTAAAATATATGAAAATAAAAAAATTAAATATATATTTTATAATAAAAACATTTCACAATATTACTGTTCTAACTGTATATTTGATCAAATAAATGCAGACTTGTTGAGCATAAAAGACTTTTAAAAGACGTGAAAAAAATCGTGCCCCAAATTTTTGAACAGCAGTGTAAGTTCCATAGTCCTGGAAAATGTGGAAATATTAATGTTTTTCAAAACTGTGATTTTGAGGCCTGGAAAAACATTATAAATGAATACAATTTGAAAGCACTGTTATTTTGTAGAAATAATTTTGTAGAATCTAACACTGTAGATTTTTTTTCTAGCTATGCTCAGTTCTTAAATAATTTGCTGCATAGAAATTACTTTTATGAGTGTGATCTCTATAAAATCATTTTTAAGAAATCTTCATCTAGTCATCACAAACAAATACAAAAGCCATTAATTGGTCAGAAAGTGTGGGATCCCTGTCTTTATTTTGATCTGTATTTTAGTATTTTGTCTTCCATAAGTGAGAATCTCACAAAGAAATGTCAGGGTCATATTTTACCTTAAAATAAAAAATAAGACATATTGTTGTAATGGGTAAATATATACCCCTACACATTTTTTAAAATAAAATCTGTTTAGATTTAATACAACTAATATTACCATAATGTGTTCAAGATTATAGTTTTACTTTACAATTTAAGTATCATTTTCGCTCTAATACTTGAAAGTCACAACGGATTAAATCTTAATAGTCCTAAAATACATTTCATTCACTTCATGCAAAATATGTCTCTTGGTTACCAGTGCCATTGCAATCCTTACTGAACCTGTTGCTTGTTTCTTCATCCTGTGATTGCTGAGCAGGGCTGAGTGTGAGTACCACAGAGAAGCTCTTCAGGGTCAGTGAGCTCTCCCACCTGCTCTACTCTCTGCTGACTCTGTCTGTGGGTGGCATGCTGGCATTTGGGCTGGGCTTCTCAGAGTTTCTGCTGGTATCCCGCACGTCCAGTCTTACGCTATCTATTGCAGGCATTTTTAAGGTGAGAATACATCTTTGTCGCTTTCACATGCTTATGAGATATATTAAAATAAGCAGCTCTTTGCCTCATCTTTTTGTTTTTCTCCATTCCTCAGTAACTTAGCTAGGTTTCAGTGCCTTCATTATCCTTAAGCCATGAATATTCTTCACAAAGACATTCTCTCTGTCTGTCTGTCTGTAGGAGGTGTGCACTCTGCTGCTGGCAGTGGAGTTCATGGGGGATAAAATGAGCACAGTCAACTGGTTGGGCTTTGCTGTATGTCTGTCTGGCATATCACTGCATATTGGCCTCAAAACATACTATAACAAAGGTAAGACTCATTCCGATTATGCCTGTAGGTGATTGTAATGCAATACCAAACTTATTTACATGGCACAGCGGATTCATACCAGTGTCTGCGTATAATGTTAAAGATACATTTTATTTGTTGTGATGAAACTGAAGTAGCACTAAATCTTACACATGGTGACGTACATCGGAGTGTAATAGATTATTGGAAAAGAAAAATGTAGGGCAGTTGTTGAATTGTTCACAGTGAGATCTATAACGTGCATTTATGAAATTTTCATTTCATGCCGACTTTATTGTTTAAGTGAGTTTGACTATGCAGTGCTTGTTTGTTAACGGTTCACTTTAAAAGTAAAATTTAATATGTCACAAACGGTTCATTGTCATTTCTGTAATGTGAAAAAAAAAATCTTATTTTTGTTACTGTTATGGATAAAAAATATTCTTCACAATCATGTTTTTTTTTCATGAAAGTAAGCTTAAATTAGATTTATTATTATTATTATTATTATTATTATTATTATCTCAGCACATTTAAGAGGGACTTTCACATATAACTAATACTGGATCTCTACTGGTATAATCAATTGTGTTCAACACCATCAATTAAGATTTAGTCATAAAATGGATACTAATAAATAAACAGCAGACCCTTAGGAAGAAGAAAATGTGCAAAACTGGTTTTTGAATCAATAATTGTTTTGCTTGAATGCAGGTCAGGTATTGTTCTTAGTCTGTGTATCTCTTTTCCTATATCTTTTTATAGGAAATGGCCCCATGGTAAGACAACTACCAGTCAGAGACAACCCGGACCTTGAGCTTCCACTTCTACAGACAAAAGATTACTATTGTGGAGACACAAATGATGAAGAGGAGCATGAGATTCTTTATTAGTTCAAGGATGACATGAATGTCATAAATAGGCTTGTGGAATGTGGAACTCTAAAAGCAGCTGGGTTAGTTTACCCAAACATTTCACTTCAGTTATTATTTGCTCACTCTCATGCCGTTCCAGTCCAGGAACACAAAAAGGATGTTTTCCATAGAATGAAAGTGGATGGAGACCAAGGGCTGTCAAGCTCCAAAAAGGTTAAAAAATTATATAAAATGGTAATTAATTTTGTCTTTGAAGAAAAAGTCATATGTGTTTTGATTTTCAGAATTTCAATTTATAGGTGAAATATACCTTCAAAACCGCTGCTGGAATCAATCTCTCACAGGACCAATCTCCAAGTGGCCTTACACATTTGTTTACATGACAATAAAGGATTTATTTTGCTAAATATCAATTCTGTTTTACTTGCCCACAATAATTACTAATTCAGACATAGAATGTGAGTGGATTTTTTTTTTAATATATATAAAATTAATGAAGTTTTCTTCTACCACGGATTACTTCCCTTTTACCTTTATACACGGTGGCTTTGTGAATGGTGGCCTACTTACTGTCTAGGTTTTATATACTTAATTTTCATCATTCAGTCTACGTTATCAGCTCTCAGGGAGGCAGACTTCAGCAAAGCAGATTATATAGGCTAATTAGATTTCTGTGGAGTTTTCATGCAGATGCAGGGAAGTCTAAATTCATGAACCTGATTGAGTTCAGTGAGTTTGTTTAGTGGATTCATTTCGAAGTCAGGAGGCCAGTTCATTTCCCAGCAGTCTGAAGATCAAGAGAGCAGTTGTTTTAGATTAAATTAAAGGATGGGAATGAATTCAATTAAGACGAAAGTATGCGTCCTTCAGCCTGCGAGCTGGGAGCTTTTTTTGTTTGTTTGTTTATATAGCCTAAAAGAAGAAAGTAAGTTTCATGTGCAGGCCCTCTGTCTCTAAAACAGTCTCTTTCTAGGCAACGCAAAGTTTCTGCTTTGCAGAATAGCTGATATACCACCCCGACTGACTATATTCCCCGCCTCTATTACTAGAGGAGGGCACTGCACCCGTATCAGATTTCACACCTAACCCAAACCAAAGTAGAGAAATAAACGGCAGCAAATAGGAGTGAGTGACCGGGACTCAATGTGTTAACATCCCTTACCTGTGGCTGTGTGGAATGTGCCAGGTACACGCTTCAGTTTCAGGTAAACTACCTTATTTCTATATATTATATGTGTGTGTTTTCATTGCTTGGTTGCAGATACAGAAGCTGTTGCTGTTTTAAATGTAATATTTTAATTCGCTTCGACTCGCTGTATTATTCATTCTGGTTTACAAGTGTGACTGAGTTAAGCAATATTTATATAAGTCATGTTTGAGTTAATGAGTAAAACGGTCGTCTCATCACCACGTACGCAGTTTATCTCATGTATGCTGACTGCCTCAGTTTTAGGTTTCATAATGCGCTTGTGTAGCGGTAATAGCTTTCGACAGCTCACTGTAGGTGTGGTATCACATCAGATTCAACGATTCGGAGCTTTAAAGTTCCCGTATTATCTATTTCTGCTGTATTCAGTACAACAAGCCAATGCATGTAAAAGCCGTCTTATTATGGCCCAAAGCAAGGGGAGGGAAAGGGGTCCAATTAAAATAGGTGTCAAATAATTGCACTTCTCTCACACAATATTTGTGTGAATCAGACCAACGCACTGCCGAGAAGATTCTGTTCTTTCAATTGATTTGGGTTGTGGTGGGATTTGAATGGGACAGTTCACATGCTGGATAGCCTACACTACATTCAGATTTTGTACAGTTTGGTTATACATACTGTATATAACAGGTGTTCAGCTTTCCCAACCTTGTCTTGTCTTGTAATAGTCTTCAGTGGTCTGTAATAGTCTTCAATGGGTCTGTAATGACCAGTTTTGGTGCAGCCTTTTCTGTAAGTGTCCCATCTCTCTCCGTGTCTCTTTTTTCACTCCTCCTCATTGGTTAGGGGGTATATTTAAAGCTGTGTGGCATTAAAAAGTTTGGGGTGCTCTCTTTTTGTGGCTTCATCCGAAAACAACAGCTTTTATGGTTCCACCGTCCATAACTGCTGTTTATGTTATTATGATCTCCTCTGTTTTGATGTCTGTTTGGAGTGAATGAAAGTTACACAAATTTGTCACCTTGCTCACAGTGACTATTTTCCCACAGGTCTTTAATTGATACCAGCGCAATCATGACGGCCCACAGCTTTTCTCTCGTCCCATCAGAGCGAACGACACTCATCCTGGTGACAGTCCTCCTGATGCTGGTTTCTGAAGTCCATTGCCAGGGTTAGATGTTGTCTTTTACCTTTCACTCAAGCTTGCTCTTTTTTTCTAGATATGAATCAACATGAAAATTTTGCCTGATGTTGAGAATTATTGTTATGACTGATAACTGAAAAATGGACCATATTAAATTTGAATACTATTTTGTCTAAATATATGAAAATTAAAACATGAAAAAGTAAAAATCAAAGATAATCTAAATGTAAACATAGGGAAAATAAATATGCACATTTAAAAGCCGGCAGATGACGATAAAATCAAATCAAAATATGATCACATTTTGTAAGCCCCAAACTGTGTTTGTTTCTGTATTTTTGCACAAATGTGTCGGCATCCTTGAAAATGGTCAGAATTTGAGAACCGTAGATAATTGCTGGTGCTTCCATAATTAGATGTCCTCTTTTCTAACCAAAATGCAATGCCTGTGCACTTCAAAATGAAATTAAGGGTCAAGTAGCATTCATGCCCACAAACAAAAATAGCAATCCACATATAGCTCCCTTCTGGTGCAGAACTACATTCCCTTTCTTATTTGTTTAAAGGTGAAGTGTGTAGCTTTGAATGTTAAAATATTCCTAACCTAAGTGTGCAGAAATCAAGCATCGTGTTAGTTCAGGCAGGCCACGTCAGTCAAGCTCGCATCAGCTGATAGTCAGCTGTTCCTGACGTGTACCAATCCAGTTTTGACACTTATCACAGCGGTCCATTTAAATTCCCATTCTCCAGCTTCTCTTCTATCGCATCACTACTCACAAATCAACTCCCTCCTCCAACCCCAACTCCATCTAACTGAACCGGTAATCTAATCTGATTTTTTTTTTTCTTCACTAATTCTTCATATTATACAGTTCACTATATTGCAAGCATTCTCTATCATATATTTTGTATTTTCTACAACTCATGTAATCGCTGCTCGCAAATCAACTCCCTCCTCCAACCCGAACTCCACCTAACGGAACCTTTTTTCCTTTTCTTCGTATACAGTTCACTGTATTGCAAGCATTCTCTATCATGTATTTTGTATTTTCTACAACTCATGTAAATTGTGAATTGTAATTATGTATGCAATGCATATACTGGATCTGTTCTGTACCCCAGCGGGGTTTGACTAGCTGCTCTCCCCGCTCCATCCAAGCATGGCTGCATGGACAGGCGTGGGGAGTTTTGCCCAGAACAGAGCCATACCGCCAACACTAACTGTATGCTATATTATTGTAATAAATATACTTTGACTAAGTGGTCCTGACTGAAACAAATATAAGTATACCATTCGTTTACCTATAACGGTAGTTTCCTAGTGGAACAGAAATGATACTTCTAACCGTTAATTCCGATTATGAAATTATATCTCATTATAACTGTGTTTTCTGAATGTTAATGCTGGTACTGTAGTACTATTATATGGTACCTATAATATATCACATTGATAAGACATCAGTAAATGCATCCACAGATAATTTATTCTGACTTGATTAGTTAGGATAGCGTCTGAAATACTGTCAGAAAACACACAGCTTTTGTTTTGTTCGTGAAATGTCATCTGCATTCCTAAAAGTCCTAATGGGACCAAATTTACAACCCACTTGCTAGAAACGTGTGTTGAAACCCCACAAAACAATGAAAAACCTGTAACAGTGCAGAAACACTCACATTTTAAACTCCTTTTTTAGCCAAATGATACTGATTTTTTTTTTAATTGTACCTTTCCCCAAGGGAAGGAAATTCTTGGTTAGCAGCACAGCAGAAAAGAATAGTCTAGAATGTAAACTTGTTCCCTGAGGCCATTGTGCAACACTGTGGAATCCCTAGACAACTGCACATAGGCCTTGGTGGATGTTGCTACATTTGGGAAAGAAATTTGCCTTAAAAATGCTTGGAATAATTTATGTGTCCTCTCTAGGCCTCTTGTTATCTCTGTCATCCCTAGAGGATACATGCTGCGCGTGTGCTTTCCTCACTGTTTTTGTCTGAACAGTTGGCAGCACATTTGTTGACGTCTGGGTTGGTGGTGCTGCTGTGTCGGCCAGAATGCTTCCTTTTGCCTCTGATCCACTGCCAGTTAATGCAGAGCATGGATATTTATTTGTTTCCACACTGTAAAAATGTTACCTTAAAAAGCTATTTCTACTGAATTTCACCCTTAAAAGGACTTTTATTGCTTTAACCTAATGCAGTTAATCGTCATATATAATAATAATAATTATAATAATAATAATTTTACTTGAATTCAACATGTTAATTTAACAACAGTAATAATATATTACAATATTATAATATTATATTAAAAAACTCAGCATTTTACCATTTACCCGATTTTATTCCCCCAATAACATAATCAGGAGCTTCAAGACACTACAGTAAGAGGGGACAAAGATCTCCATGTTTTTTGGGGTCATCCTCATTGTAACTCTCATCTGGACTATGACATTACATGCATGCAGCCCCTTCAGGCTGACCTTCAACCCCACTGAAAAGCAGATTTCCTGTGGTCCTCAACCCCCCGTTACCCTGCAGGGCATTACAGGGCCTGCTTTGAGCGCTTGTGGACAGCTGGGGAGAGGGGAAGATGGAGCAGGGAACATGAAAGAGGGGATTGTGGCAAACTGGCATGTGGAAATTATGCAGATAAGCTGAAGACAAGGGCAGAGTTGAGCAAGAGAACAGTGATGAAGGAAAAGGAGGAATGACTGAAAAACTTCCCGTTCAAATATTAGAACTTCTCAGAGGGGAAGTAGAGGGAAAAAAGCCATTGAGATGCTTTTAGAGGAAGACTTTGATCTTTCAAGACATACATATCTTAGCTTCATTCCCCAAAGCCCCACATACAGACCTCTTTTCCCATGATTCTCTCTAGGAGTTAAAGGCTTGTTTTTGTCCCTCATCTGACTTATGCTATTACATATATTAATTGTGTGTGCATCTGTCTGTAGACACAAACTTATCGGACTTTCAAATGACTATCAGTCTTAATCCATCTGTTTTCTTTGCTAATAATGTGGTGTGAACTTGTATTCCCACAAAACATGTTGCATAAAGTCTTTGTATACATTTCCAGGCCGGCTGAAGCTGACTGTTCTGTCTGAAGATCGGCTGCAGATGAAATGGAAGGAGGCGGAAGGGCTGGTGCAGGGCTATAAGGTCCGTGTGCGACCCATCACAGGTGAGATTGCAGTTAATGGTAACTAATTAAGATTACATTATTACTTTTTACTATAAGTAAAAAGTAAAAGTATGTGCATGCAGTGCCATATAGGAACAGTACCGTTCAAATGTTTGGGGTCAGGTTTTTAAAAGACGTCTCTTATGCCCACCTAGGCTGCATTTATTTGTCAAAAATACAGTAAAAATAGTACTATTGTGAAATAATCTTTTTACAGTTTAAAATTAAAACTGATTTTAATATATTTTAAAATTTTCAGTATTCAGTGTTACATGATCCTTCAGAAATCATTCTAATATGCTGATTTGCTTCTCAATAAATATTTCTTCTTATTATCAATGTTTAAAACGGTTTCATATTTTATAATATAAACTGCTTAATTTTGTTTGTTTGTTTTTTTGTGGAAACTTTGTTAATTAGAAAGTTCAAAAGAACAGTATTTATTTCAAAATATATTTTTGTAACAATGTAGAAATCCTAACTGTCAGTTATAATCAATTTAATGCATCCTTGCTAAATAGATAATAATTCTTAATAAAGAATTAATTTTTTTTTTAATTTCTTTTTCAAAAAAAAAAAAAATCTCACTGATTGTCATGATCAACATCGCGTATAGCAGTCATAACTGGTTGCTCCAGGGGAGATTAAATCATCCGCTGCTCTGTGGACACACCCAAATTTTGTCCGCTACACATAACAGGAACTGGATTCCACTGAATCACAGCATTTGAGATTTAGAAACAAAAAAGCACCTGTGTTTGTCAGTAAATAAATCAAATAGATAGAAAAGTTACTTATTTTTAAAAGAAACTTGAATATTATGATGTATTATCACCTTATTAAAAATTAATAACGAATTGCAAATTTAAGCCAGACATTATCAAGGTCATTTCTTTCTTTCTTTCTTTCTTTCTTTCTTTCTTTCTTTCTTTCTTTCTTTCTTTCTTTCTTTCTCTTTCTTAAGTAACTTTAATATTATGATGTATTATATTTGAAAAATGAATAAAGATTTGCAGATTATAGCCAGACATTATCAAGGGCCTTTCTTTCTTTCTTTCTTTGTAGTGCAGTACATTCTTGTCCCACTGAGTAAGCATTCAGAACAGGTGAGGAATTTTTGAGCAATGATTGAATCAGGATAGTCATAAACTTTGCTCATATCTCTTCTGTCTGACTTCTCGTCTTGTTTTTTTTTTTTTTTTTACCA